AGTGGGAAACACACCATGGTCCTCTCTAAAAGGCGATTTTTCAAAAGTTTATGAACAATACTCTTAGCTGTGTTTACTGTTAATATAATTGGATCCATCAGGATATTCTGGGTCTCCAGTACTCAAGAACCACTGAATTATGAATGACGATACAGGCCCTTTATCACTCAAATATTTGAGAATTCTAGTAGCCAGGTTATTCTTTTTTGAGTCCTCGATCCTCTCCATCTCTTGCTGAAGATTTCTAACTTAAGTCACAGTTGGTAACTTACTCTTCTGAAGAGCTCATTTTACTGCCATTAATCTGGAACCATAGGATTCATCAGATGACCCGTTTTGAGTACCAATCCCAGGGAGGTACTGAGAGAATAGAAAAAAATACAAAGCAGTTATTAGTATAAACCTCCTAAGTGACCCAATCCATCTAACTGGCCAGCAATTAACAGTTGACATATTCTTCCAATTTCTTTCTGAAATATAAAGTTTTCAGTATGATCATAATTAGCAAAGTGTTTTTTCTATTGCTTTCTATGAAGTCTACATTGTGAGGCTACTGGACTTACCCTCCATAAACAATTAATATACCTGGAAGATACATAAACTAACCACTTGCAGGCATCAATAGCACAGTGTAGCCACAAATCTTTGAGAGAAGGGGAGTGAGGTGACCGCACAAACTCACCCTGGTTTCTCCCTGAGGGCATTTTTTCATAACCCAGATGTTGAGAAAAAAGACCAAGCAGAACAGCAGCTGGACAAGCAGAAAAACAGAAGATGATCAGGGCTGCATTGAGGCTGAGTTGGGTGTTTAGAAAGGAAACCCCCACATAAAAAAAGAAAAGAGCCGGGCGCTGTGGAACTCACGCTGTAATCCAGCTCTTGGCAGCTGAGGCGGCGATTGCTCAAGCAGAGTTCAAAACCCTGAGCAAGAGCGAGCCCCGCTCTACATAAACAAAGAAATTAATGCCACGATTATATATATAAATTGCCGGCATAGTGGCCACTAGCCTGTAGTTCCAGATACTCGGAGGCTGAGGCAGGAAGGATCACTTGAGCCCAGAGATTGGAGTGCTGTTAGCTAGCTGACGCCACGGCCACTTCACTCTAGCCTGGACAACAAATGAGACACTGTCTCAAAAAAAAAAAAAAAAAGAAAAAGAACTTGTCAAAATTCCCCATCAATCTGCTTACTCATGCTTGTTGTAGTGGTGATGCTCCAGAGCCCGGCAAGAAGAAGCCTGGAGCTAGAGATCTTAGCAAGATGTCAGAGGCCAACAGTACTGAATAGAAAGTTGAAATTACAGCCAAAGGATAAGCTTTGGAACACCCTGAGATTTCAGTTGAACCAGAGAGGCCACACCCTAGGAATAAGGACCACATGTAGGCGGTAAGGAGATGTGTTCTAACAAATAAGGTAAACCAACACCTACAAAAAAGGATAAATCATAATTAGCAGCCCTCAGAAAACAGCACTCTGCAAACATAATCAGAGCCTCTACAATGATACTAGTAGCTTTTCCCTTGATACACAATAGGAACAGAAAAGTGACTGATAGACTTTGGCCCCAGATACGAGGAAGCTCAGGTAGGAGGATTGCTGAGCCCAGGAGCTCAGGCTGCAGTGAGCTAATGATCATGCCAATGCACTCTAGCCTGGGTGACCACCCTTTCATATAAAAAGAAAAGAAGACTGAAGGGGCAAGAAAACAGTCAATAGGCTAGGCATGGTGGCTCCATCCAAATCAAATACACTCTGAAGGCTAAGGCCAAGTGAGGACCACTTGAGTCAGGATTTGGACCTATCCTAGCAAGACAAACCCCCGCCCTACTAAAAATAGAAAATAGCCAGCATGGTGGTGGCACCTGTAATTCCACTACTCAGGAACTTATCAGGGATGGCTTGAGCCCAGGAATTGAGATTACGGTGAGCTATGACACACTACTGCACACACTAGCTAAGGTGACAAACTGAACTCGTCTCAAAACAAACAACAAAACCAATTATTATCAAAGTCTTGGATTAAAACATACCGCAAAAAGTAAAATAGCACAATAGCACAGGCGAGGAGTTAAATGGAATAAAACTGTGTAATTCTTCATGAGGAAGTTAAAATAAATACTAACTTAAACTCTAAAAATTACAAGCATAACTAACAGGATACAAAACTTTTCTGTAAAGTCTAGAATAAAAAATTTAAAGGCTCTGTGGGCTCATATGTGATCTCATTGCATATTCTTCCTCCTTTTTGAATCACAAGTCTATCTCTGTTCCCTAGCTATAGTGCATGCCATCATCATATCACAGCACCCCAACCGGGCTCAAGTGATTCCTCACTCCAAGCAGCTGACTATAGGCGCACGCCATCATAATCTTCAGCTAAGTTTCTAGATTTAAGAATGGTTCTGAAGTTGGCTAGTGCTTGAACTCGGCCTCAAGCTGATCGTTCCCATCTGGCCCCAAAGTGGCAATTTATAGGCATGACCACTGTCCTTGCCACCTTTTTTTCAGTACTAAAATGTAAAAACCATTCTTACTTGGAATCACACAAAAACAGGTGTAGGGGCCAAGAATCCTGATGAATAATAAAAGAAGGTTCAAAGAAAGTATATAGAGAGACAAATGAATAAGAATAACAATTCTACATTGTAAGCAATCCCATCATAAAATATCAAAACAATTAATTAATATTTATTAGGACATAAAATAAATCCATTTTGAATCAAAAGCGTATTTATTATCTCCAAAGACATAATTAATCAAAGTATTACCTAAATCATCAACATTTTGCCATTAACGATAGCTTATTACCTACAATAAGAAAGACTGGAAGCAAAGTGTGATGGAAATTGAAAGGATTTTCCACAGCTTGTTGAGAATGGAATATCTTTCCTTGCAAGAGTAGTCCAGCGCGTGGCTCAACGCCGTAACCCCTAGCACTCCTGGAGCCAAGTGGAGGATCTGAGTCAAGGATCAAAACCAGCCTAGCAAGACGATACCCGTCCTACCTAAATAGAAAGAAATCATTGGCCAATAATATATATACGAAAAATTAGCCGGCATGGTGGCATCATGCCTGTATCCCAGCTAACTCAGGAGGCAGAGGCAGCAGATTGATTAGCCCAGATGAGTGCTGTGAGCTACTGAATGCCCAGCACGCACTCTAGCGGGCCAAAACAGACCTGTTCTCCAAAAAAAAA